ATTTAAAGTTCCTCTTTCTGAAAAACGCTTCTGGCAGACAGAACATTCAAAAGGCTTTTCCCCTGTGTGAATCCGCATGTGGTTAATTAAATGTCCTCTTTGGGAGAAGCCCTTCTGGCAGACAGAACATTCAAAATGATTTTTTCTAGTGTGTACCCGCATGTGGCGAAGTAAATTATCCTTTCGTGGCAAGCTCTTCTGGCAGACTGAGCATTCGTGTCTTCTCTCTTCGAGATCACTTCTTGCTTTTGTACGCGATTCGTTTGAAGAGCCCGCTCCAGGATGTTCTGCAACTAAATACAGATAATTTGGTTAAAAAAGAATTTCTCAAAATTGGACTTGGATGGTAATTCTGTGTCGATTAAATATAATAAATAAATAAATTAGACATAAGAGTAAACCGAAATGTAAGTTCTCCACAGGGCTGCGGTTCCCGGGAAATAAGTCGTGCAGCTGGAGGTAACATTGTTTCTCCTGTTACTGTTACTTAAACTGTGTTTATTGCTTCTCCACTCCCAAACAAGCCTATGCTCACTTCGCTTACGGAGACAGTCTTCACTTGGTAGAGGTTTGTAACGGAGCTCCCTTTTGGTGCTACCGCCAAATGAGAAGTTCCCGAGTTATTCGACTTTTGAACGAAAAAGCAGAGAAATCTATTGAAGTTTACTGCCAATTACAAGAAGTGAATAGTGAGTGATGTCTGGATGTCAAAATCGTCCTCAAGTGATGTAGGGAGTCTGCAGGGAGACGTACTGAAGTTCAAGACGAAGAAAGAAGCTGCAGTGTCAATTTCTGACTAAGTTCCGAAATTTGGCCAATCCATGAGTGAAGGTCGACGAATCACTCTGGATGATTTCGGCACTTTGGTTCCCGATGTTTCTCCATGCACCATTTCAGACGATTTTGAACGTTGAAAAATCTGAATGTGTGCGCGAGATGGGAAACCTTAAACGAACATGGCGACGAATTCAATCTTTCTGCGAATTTCCTCGCGGCTGTGGAGACGAAAAGGACAGCTTATGGATTCTATTGTCACGGGCGACGAAGCCTGGGCTTCCCACTGCAAACCTGAGAACAAACATCAATCACGTCAGTGGCGTGATCCCTCTTCTCACAGTCCGTCCGTGAATTCATGGCAACTTTGTTTCGGATCGATCGAAAGCAGTAATAGGCAGACTTCACGCCTTCTTAGCTCACAGTAAACAGGCACTGACAGGAATTGTGAGGCTGAAAACACTCAGTAGACGGGCGATGCAGAAGCACTGAAGAGGAATGGTGAGCAAGGGCGTAAGCATTCGTCACGACATAGCTCGTCGCCCTCCTCAACAGTTTGGATAGAACATCATCTCCCACCATCCTATAACGCTGGCCGGAATCCAGTGACTACCACGTGTTTCTTACGATGAAAGAACATTTGGTCGGAATGCGCTTCAGCATCGACGACGAAATGAAGAATGAAGTTCAACGCTTTTTTAACATGGCGGCGAGCTAGTGGGACTCGGGCTTACCTGCCGCAGAGCTTACAAAACTGGATCGACAGAAATCGAGATTATATAGAACTAGTGGTGCCACAACAGCACGTACTTTTTCGCGATATTTATAACTCTGTAAGATTATAATATGGCAATTTTTCTTACTCACTTCAATTACGATTTGAAAAATTCTGAAAAACAAAAACAAAAAAAAAAACAAAAAACAAACGAAGCGTAAAAAATACATACATTTTTTAAAATTCAAACGCTTAAACGAAACCAACTTTCTACAACTGAATTCGGTGTATCCATATTCTACATAAATATACCAACGATGCGCGATGCGTATTTTGGCCATAAATAAAAGTATTAGTTTATATTAAGGCTAAATGCATCGATACTAGTACAATTTGTAGCCACCACGTGGCAGCACCAAAATAAGTAAAATTTACTTCACCGATCACGTCTGAACCAAATTTCCGATCTGTAAACGGTATTTGACTCCTTTTTTAAAACAGAATTTACGCTACGAAGCCCTTTTTCTAAAAACCTAGCAAAAACTCGAATTTGAAATAGGTTTTCAAACTTTCCAGAAATTTTTTTTAAAAAAAATTACGCGCCGTTGCGCCACACACCACCCCGTTGTGGGCCTGCGGCGGCACGGCCAGCCCCGGCGGAGGAGGCGGGTCAGGCAAGCCACACAGTCGGATTATGCTTTCGTCACTATGCATCTCAATCCTGTATTTCACAAATATCAAACTAGAGATGCTATACACATATACACATAATTATCTTTTTCACATATTTTCGTCTTCCTTCGAATACCATCTTAAAATTGTTCGGGGCATTACTCAAAATATCGATTGCGATTTGGAACTATTTTTTAAAAAATTGAACTAATTATTCAATTCAGAATAATGTTACAAATAAGCAAGTACAAACACCAAAAACAAGCAATTCAAAGCCAACACTAAAGGTCCTCAATTACATTTCATCAATCTAATGACCGCCCTTAAAAAGAAGCTCCGGATGAAACCTACAGATGAAACGGACTAATGAGAAGCTGTAATCCTCACCTCGCATTCCCCCTCAACTTCTTCTTTCGTGGGCTGCACAAAAAGTGTGACAGGTGGCATCAGATCCTACAAATACAACACAAATATCATCCACCATCTTCTTTAGAACAAATCACATCCATTAGAGCCCTTTTTATTAACAAAGAACCTTCTCTAAAAGGGAAGCTACATTCTCAATGAATCAGAAAAGAGATGATGGACGTGAAAATTGAAAACAAACATTAAGATCAATGACGAACCCATCTGCACAAGTCTTGCAACCACTGTCCATAAAATTACAAATCCTACCACATGAACATATTTGAAATATTAATCTTCCAGATGATCCCCGTAAGAAACAAGGATTCTGTTACTCTAAACACAAAACCGACCTTTATACTGCATGCACTCTTTCATAAAAATGCTTATATGGCCACTATTACTCAATGGAAAAAATTAGGACTATCCAGTCAATAAATTAAACATTCACAATATATTCTGAGGATATATTTGCATTTTTTGAATTCTCTGTCTAATAATAATCTAGCTATGTTAAGAATCTACATCAGCCTGTAGTTGCCATAAAATCGTCATTAACTTTGAATACAAATATCATTGCTTCTTTTTCATTATTGAAGAATGTAAAAATTAATCAGATATATTAATAGTAAGTAATCATGAATCATTACACAATTAGCAAAATTGTCTTACACAATAACATTTTCAGGTGTGAGCTCAACAAAGCACCTATACATCTCCGTCCCGTTCTGGTAATGCACAAAAACCTTCTAAACGTAGTCATTGCCTAAACTGTCTAGCCTTTAAATCATACAGGACAATTAAAAATTAAATTAATATTAATGAAATTGCTTTCCTTCAAACGCTCCTTCATAAGACCCCAATACAAAATATGAATAAGTAAAATCATATCAGTAATATAGTCATCCAAAAATTGCCTAACATGTAACCAAAAGAAGACTTTCAATTAATAAATCTCACCAAACAACCCTGGATATGTTCCTCTGAGGTACATTTTAACTGCATTCTCTATCATTGCACAATCAAGATTTTAATCAATATCCAGTTAATTCCTCTGAGTATTTGAACAGAGTACACAAAAGTATAATATTTAGTATGGTCATTTTCCTTAATGGTTGGTGTTCTGATGCAGCACATGGTGTTTTGTTTACTGCTTTATTGATTGAAGGATGAAAACATACCTAAAAATACGTTGATTCTGGAAATTGCAAAATTCTTAAACATTTTTATGTCAAAATACTTTTAGGCCCAATTAGGCTTCACTATACTGTCCCCTAGTAGAAACAAGGTCTGAGACTTCAGCCTCTACAATAAACAAACTTGAGCCTAGCTAATGCACCCTCAGTTTTACATTAAAATCTCAAAAAACCACAGCACAAAAAAACACCATAGCTACAATCACAACAACGATCAAACAAAACTGTCCCACTGTACTGAAGTTTCAGCTTCCCTTCAAAACTAGCTTTCAACCACAAAACATTCACTGCAATATACACGTTTTGAATACTACAAGTGCACACAAAATTTGATGTTTCCTAATGCAAATTCCACGACTTCACCTTCACTATCACGTTTCTTTCAGATTGGCAGTTACACAAAGTAAAGCAGAGAAATGTATCACAGCATTTTTCAAGGTGGTCAAAACGGATATGAAGCAAATGCATCTCACTAAGGGGTTGGCTTCTTGAAAAAACTCTAAGAGTTTCTTCTTTAACTTGAAGTCAAAATAAAATGATAGTAATGTACATTTCTGTCAACATACAGTATCCCTACAAGAGCTTACATTTGTGCTAGGAAAGTAACAATTGCCTAACCTTAATCTGATGTATTTGCAAAGAGCAGGCTACAAATTAGAAGCTTAAAAGTTGTCAGGATACGTAAACAGTAATCTTACCTTTTCTACTTTAAATATACTTTCAAACACGTTATCTTGTCCATCCATGTGTAACAGCGTTTAGCTAAACAAGAAATATTAATACTTGTGAAAGGTGTGTCGTATTCTTTAGTATTGGGGAAAAAATGCGAGCGTGACTACGCAAAAGCAAAAAAAGAGACTGGCGTGGGCACAATCGATTATTAGATAATTCCTTTAAATGTATTCTTATACTGTCGAGAAATTATAATACAAGTAACCATTAATGCTCTTTAACCACTAACTTCAACCTAATTCTTCCACAACAGTATTACCCAAACTAGGAAGAATTGGATCGCCTATGAAAGGAAATAAAATAAAATTGTGTACATAAGTTTTCAAATTGGAAGTGAACCGCCACAAGCAAATACTACACGCATAAGTTTTCTTGATATTCTGTAGCGGACAAAGAGTATATATCAGAGACTGCACTCAATGTTAAAAGGAAAAGCCTTATTTGCCAAACTTCCGGTGCCGCCAAATTGTTCTGTATAATTTCTATTGGGTAAACGGACAGCCAATAGCGAAGAAGTAACAGGTAAATTTGAA